TTGTCTTTATCAGCTTTCATGACGATGATAGTGGTATCTTCTCTTAAGACCTTTAATGCGGTACGCTCCGCTGTTGTAAGATTTGGCTCCCCAAGCTTCTGAAATCTGATGATGTCTACCACTTGTGCACGAATATTCTCAGCTGTTGATACTGGTAGTTTCGTCACCACGGTCTCAACGCTAGTAATAATTTCCTCTGCAGTTAGTTTAGACTTATTTACAGAGAAGTTCAAACCCATTTTTAATAATACATGTCCCGTCTCACTCAATAACCTATCCGACATATTAACTACGTTGTAATAGTTACTGCTAGATTCAGACCTATCTGCGAGACTAGTGGGCCTGCTACGCATAGACATCAAATGATTGAACTTATGAACTTGTCTTTCTTTCGCAGCTATCCCCTGCGTTGATTTTCCTTCCGAGGCCTTGTTGTAAAGTCTATCATTGACAGTTTGCGTTAGAGCAGTCTGCAGCTCCCAGCTCAGCCGATTAGCATGAAGGCGGATTTCATTCAGGCGTCAAGTTTTCATATAGATCTGTTGTCTTAGGAATGTTATGCTTGCGTTGAAGACTGCTTTGGTAGATTTGTAAGAATTGTCCGGTGGTCTGACAACGAGGCTTTTAGGAATAATCCCACATTTGAGACATCTCAGGTTGAAGATACGGTGATTTTCCCAATTCGCTTCAACACCAGCCAAACGCAGAAACTCACTAGCCAGTTTTCGAACACATGCTCCGTAGAGTGATACAATATCTCGGAATATGTTTGGAACCGACTGGGATTTCATGATTTCAGAAGGTTTTGAATACAAATCGGTTTTGGTAGGGTTTTATTCAAAACCTTCTGAAATCATGAAATCCCAGTCTGTTCCAAACATATTCCGAGATATTGAAGGTATATCTTTTGTTCCGCTTTCTCAATTAAGTTCATTTGCCACTAACAAAGTGTTGCTATTAGTAAGGCTTATAATGAAGGTGAATCTGAAGCCACCTTTTGACCGCTTAATATGTATCTCATTCTGAAGATCCATGCAGTAAAATTCAGGTGACTGTTACGGTCACATTTAAGATAACCACCAAAAATTTGGCATGTGGTCCGGAGGATCCAGACCCCACCATTGTTATAATTAAATACTAAAAATTTGACACCATTTTAGCCAACAGAATAAGAATAGTTTGCCACATATATTTTCAAACAATTATTTATATGGAGAACCATTCTGATTTTCGCAGTGCATGTTTCTCCTTGCATTTCGAAGTATTGTATGATTCCGCTGTAGAGTTTACTTAACTTGTCAGTCATTCACAGATTAGTGATGGCGACTTGTATGACACTTATGGAGTAGAAAACAAAGCCGACTGCAGAAACAACAGAGCGCCAATCATTTTTGTCTATAATTTGGCTGCACATTTGTTATTGGCGACACTTCCGGCTACTGATGATCCAGATATATTCAGTGTAGTGGTCGAAAAATACTAGGAAGGTTTCAACCCCTTAATAAAAGGCAAAAAGTTGGAGAGGGTCAACTCACAGTTTAATCACAGTCGAGTTCGAGTCGTAGGTTGCGCTATACCTGTGACACACGTCGAGCACAATGGAAATAGACGTTCGATAATAATTCCGAATATACTATCCGATTTTCAAGCAGACTGGACGGCACCGTACACACGCAGAAGCAGCACAGCCAGAAATCAGCACGACGGAACGCGGGGCGCGAAGAAGTGTATATTAATCATTAATTCAAACAAACTGTACAAAAGATGTCATGATAAAATGGATGACAAGAAAGACAAAATGTGAAAGATTAATAACCACTACATAACTCCCCCCGTAGAGCGTGAACTGGTAAGGTAACGCTCGATATAGCTATTTAGGGAACAAACTCAGCTAGTTTGGAGGGGAAAGACACAGAACGTCCTGAACGTGTGTGTTTGGGATCATTCGTTGGGCGAGCGCATGAAGGTTCTGGAGCATTGGAAGCGGTCGGTTGACCAACAGGGGGTAACGACTTGGGATCCGTCAAAGTAACGGCAGGCTCAACATAAGCGGGTTTAAGACGGTCAATACTCACAGATTCTTTCGAGCCATTCCTTTCCAGTATGAAGTATTTAGGTTTCCGTGACAACACTTTGAAAGGACCTTCATAAGGGGGTGTCAATGGCTTGCGAACTGCATCAATGCGAATGAAAACGAAAGGACAAGTGTGTAAGTCCGGATGAATTCGTTGTTCGCGGGCAGTGAAGCGAGTAGACGTAGGTCGAACTGTTCGGAAGTGTTGTTTGAGACGTTCGGCGTAGGACACAGGATCTATCTCACCAGTGACTCGGGAATCCAAAATCATCTCACCTGGAAGTCTGAGAGTGGTGCCAAAGACGAGTTCGGCAGGGCTGCATCCAATATCCTCTTTGACGGTATTACGGATACCAAGAAGGACAGCTGGGATGCGTTCAGACCAATGTGGATCAGGTGAATTAGCTGTGATGGCGGCTTTAAGCTGTCGATGGAAACGCTCGACAAGGCCATTCGAAGCGGGATGATAAGCAGTTGTTCGAATGTGGGTACAACCCAAAAGGCGATTCAAGTCACGGAACAAGGTGGAAGTGAACTGAGATCCTCGATCTGTAGTGATAGTAGATGGTACACCGAAAAAGGAAATCCATGAGTCAAAAAATGCACGGGCAACAGATTCTGAAGATATGTCACGTAAAGGAATGGCGTGCGGCCAACGAGTAAAACGATCAACACAAGTCAAAATGAAAGTGAAATTGTTCGATGGAGGAAGCGGTCCGACTATGTCTAGGTGGACATGTCTAAAACGTGCCTCAGGTAGTGAGAATGTTCCGGGGGCAGAAATAGTGTGTCTGTGTACTTTGCTGCTCTGGCAGCTGAGACAGTGTTTAGCCCATTGGCGGATATCAGAGCGCATACTAGGCCAGATGAAACGATCAGTAATCAACTTCACAGTAGATCGAATGCTAGGATGCGATAGTCCGTGAAAATGGTCAAAGACGGTTCGCCGGAAAGACTGTGGAACAAACGGTCTTGGCTTACCGGTGGAGACATCGCAGTAAATCCTTGCGTCTGAGTTTAAAATTGGTAATTGCAAGAATTTCAATGTGGTATTCGATCGAAGCTGAGCGAGTTCAGGATCGTTGTTCTGGGCAACAGACATTTCCTCAAGGTCTATTGGTGAGGACGACAGTTGATGTATGTGAGCACGTGAAAGTGCATCAGCGACAACATTATTCGGACCATCGAGGTAGCGAATGTCGACACAAAATTGTGAGAGGTAATCTAGATGTCGTGTCTCTCTCGGAGAATAGCGATCGGAAGCGGCGCGAAAAGCGTAGACCAACGGCTTGTGGTCCGTCAGAATTACAAAACGTCGTCCTTCAAGGACGTGACGAAAGTGCTTGACGGCCAAGTACATCGCGAGAAGTTCGCGACCGAAAGTACTATACCTCGTTTGTGCTGGTTGTAGCTTCCGAGAAAAGAAAGACAACGGCTGAATCTCATTGCCAATTAGTTGTTGAAGTACAGCACCGACAGCGGATTGTGAGGCATCAGTCTTGAGAACGAGAGTGGCTTTCTCGTCGGTGTCCAAGTAGCTCAGGGAAGTTACCTGGCTTAACTTCTGCTTGATGGCAACAAACGCTGTTTCGGCTTCTGGCGTAATGATGAACTTCTTTGGATTACCTTTAAGTAAATCAGTTAGAGGCTGAAGAACAGGCAGCACAATTGTCAATGAATCTTCCGTAATAATTAACCATGCCAAGGAATCGGCGCAGGTTTTTAACGGATTGGGGCAGTGGATAGTCCATGATTGCCTGGGTTTTCTCAGGGATGGGACTAATGCCTTTGCTATCGATTTTGTGACCAAGAAAATCGACGGAAGATTGACCAAATAGGCATTTATCAGGATTAATGGTTATCCCGTGATGGTCGAAGCGTTCAAATACTTGTCGGAGGTGATTCAAGTGCTCTTCTGGCGTGGCACTGGCTATGAGAACATCGTCAATGTAGACAAAAACAAAGTCTAGACCACGGAGGACCTGGTCCATGAAGCGCTGGAAGGACTGTGCCGCATTGCGAAGGCCAAAGGGCATACGAGTGAACTCGTACAAACCGAAAGGTGTGATAACGGCCGTTTTAGCAATGTCCTCAGATGCCATTGGAATTTGATGGTACGCTCGTACAAGGTCAATCTTGGAAAAGACTGATTTCCCGGACAATCCCAATGAAAAATCATGAATATGAGGGATAGGGTATCTGTCGGGGATAGTAACGGCGTTGAGTGCCCGGTAATCACCGCATGGACGCCAATCACCGGACTTTTTGGGTACAAGATGAAGCGGAGAAGCCCAACAACTGTTGGACGGGCGAATGATTCCGAGGTTGAGCATGTGCTCAAATTCGCGTTTAGCCGCTTGGAGCTTGTCAGGTGGAAGACGTCTCGGTTTGGCTGACACGGGTGGACCTGTGGTGACGATATGATGACGGACCTCGTGTTTAGGCTCGGTGGAGTCGGTATTAGAACGGACCAAAGACGGAAATTGCTGAAGCAATGAGGAATACGGCGTAGAGTCTGGCATGAGTACGCGAAGTCCAACGGAAGTGACTGGGGCGAGATGGCAAGGGACAGTGAGCGAAGTGCTGTCGTCCCGTAACTTCCTGCAACGTAGGTCGACAACGAGGCCGAATTTGCTAAGGAAGTCGATGCCAAGTATGGGTTTCTGGACATCAGCGATGGTAAAGATAAAAGGAAAGTCGCGTCGTAAACCAAGGCTTAGGTGTAACAGCTTTTGGCCGTATGTCGCGATCTTGGTCTGGTTAGCCGCCTGTAACGTGAGTCCGGCTTGTTGCAGAGGGCGTTTTTCCAACGAACGTGGGATAACGCTGATTTCTGCGCCCGTATCGACCAAAAAATGAAGTTTAGTCGTGGAGTCGAACACGTACAGAAGGCGACTGAGGATTTGGCCAGCGACAGCCGTCGCCATTACTGGCTGGCTTTGGCGTTTCCCGGTTGCGAAATCGAAGTTCCTTTCGGATATTTGCATCCTGGGCGACAGTTACGTGCTGATTTACCGAAGCGACGGTGGAAATAACAGTACGACCGCTGACGTGAGCGTGATGTGCTGCGGCGCGGATCACGAGGACTTCTTCGGCTGGTAGTGCGTTCACGTCGAATAGCAGACATGCTGAGTTCTAGACGGGATATTCTATCATTTATCGAATCAAGCGTAGTGCTAGGGGATGAGCTGGCTGTGGTGGACTCAGTTAGATGATTAAGAGTACTCTTAAAGAAACATTCGTGCGTTTTGTCCGCAGCTTCTGCGAGCTTCTCCAGCGTGATATCGTCGCTAAGAACTGATAATATCGCTGTGATGTTTGCCGGAAGACATTTGGTCCAAAGTTGGCGGAGTATGGAATCGTCGAGTTTCGACGAACCAACTAGGGAACGCATGTGCCTTAGAAGCTGGGATGGGGTGCGATCGCCAAGCTCGACGCCGGAAAGTAACTGTTGCAGACGAGCTTCATCAGACGCAGTTGTGCGTTTAAGGATAGCTGCTTTAAGTTTATCATACGGCGATTCAACAGGCATAGGGTCAAGAATATCAATGACTTCAGATGCAATGGAGACAGGTAAGCGCGAGACGACGTAAGAGAACATGGAAGACTGTGAAGTGATCTTACGACATCGAAAAGTGGCTTCCACCTGAATAAACCATACGCGTGGATTGGAAATGTCAAAGTTAGGAAGCGAGAGTTCGACGGAATTGTCCGTAAAAACACATGGGGTATGGTCAGACATGACTAAGAAAAAATACGTGTTCAAAAAAAAATAAGGCAGGGTCACCAATTTATGTAGTGGTCGAAAAATACTAGGAAGGTTTCAACCCCTTAATAAAAGGCAAAAAGTTGGAGAGGGTCAACTCACAGTTTAATCACAGTCGAGTTCGAGTCGTAGGTTGCGCTATACCTGTGACACACGTCGAGCACAATGGAAATAGACGTTCGATAATAATTCCGAATATACTATCCGATTTTCAAGCAGACTGGACGGCACCGTACACACGCAGAAGCAGCACAGCCAGAAATCAGCACGACGTAACGCGGGGCGCGAAGAAGTGTATATTAATCATTAATTCAAACAAACTGTACAAAAGATGTCATGATAAAATGGATGACAAGAAAGACAAAATGTGAAAGATTAATAACCACTACATAACTCCCCCCGTAGAGCGTGAACTGGTAAGGTAACGCTCGATATAGCTATTTAGGGAACAAACTCAGCTAGTTTGGAGGGGAAAGACACAGAACGTCCTGAACGTGTGTGTTTGGGATCATTCGTTGGGCGAGCGCATGAAGGTTCTGGAGCATTGGAAGCGGTCGGTTGACCAACAGGGGGTAACGACTTGGGATCCGTCAAAGTAACGGCAGGCTCAACATAAGCGGGTTTAAGACGGTCAATACTCACAGATTCTTTCGATCCATTCCTTTCCAGTATGAAGTATTTAGGTTTCCGTGACAACACTTTGAAAGGACCTTCATAAGGGGGTGTCAATGGCTTGCGAACTGCATCAATGCGAATGAAAACGAAAGGACAAGTGTGTAAGTCCGGATGAATTCGTTGTTCGCGGGCAGTGAAGCGAGTAGACGTAGGTCGAACTGTTCGGAAGTGTTGTTTGAGACGTTCGGCGTAGGACACAGGATCTATCTCACCAGTGACTCGGGAATCCAAAATCATCTCACCTGGAAGTCTGAGAGTGGTGCCAAAGACGAGTTCGGCAGGGCTGCATCCAATATCCTCTTTGACGGTATTACGGATACCAAGAAGGACAGCTGGGATGCGTTCAGACCAATGTGGATCAGGTGAATTAGCTGTGATGGCGGCTTTAAGCTGTCGATGGAAACGCTCGACAAGGCCATTCGAAGCGGGATGATAAGCAGTTGTTCGAATGTGGGTACAACCCAACAGACGATTCAAGTCACGGAACAAGGTGGAAGTAAACTGAGATCCTCGATCTGTAGTGATCGTAGATGGTACACCGAAAAAGGAAATCCATGAGTCGAAAAATGCACGGGCAACAGATTCTGAAGATATGTCACGTAAAGGAATGGCGTGCGGCCAACGAGTAAAACGATCAACACAAGTCAAAATGAAAGTGAAATTGTTCGATGGAGGAAGCGGTCCGACTATGTCTAGGTGGACATGTCTAAAACGCGCCTCAGGTAGTGAGAATGTTCCGGGGGCAGAAATAGTGTGTCTGTGTACTTTGCTGCTCTGGCAGCTGAGACAGTGTTTAGCCCATTGGCGGATATCAGAGCGCATACTAGGCCAGATGAAACGATCAGTAATCAACTTCACAGTAGATCGAATGCTAGGATGCGATAGTCCGTGAAAATGGTCAAAGACGGTTCGCCGGAAAGACTGTGGAACAAACGGTCTTGGCTTACCGGTGGAGACATCGCAGTAAATCCTTGCGTCTGAGTTTAAAATTGGTAATTGCAAGAATTTCAATGTGGTATTCGATCGAAGCTGAGCGAGTTCAGGATCGTTGTTCTGGGCAACAGACATTTCCTCAAGGTCTATTGGTGAGGACGACAGTTGATGTATGTGAGCACGTGAAAGTGCATCAGCGACAACATTATTCGGACCATCGAGGTAGCGAATGTCGACACAAAATTGTGAGAGGTAATCCAGATGTCGTGTCTCTCTCGGAGAATAGCGATCGGAAGCGGCGCGAAAAGCGTAGACCAACGGCTTGTGGTCCGTCAGAATTACAAAACGTCGTCCTTCAAGGACGTGACGAAAGTGCTTGACGGCCAAGTACATCGCGAGAAGTTCGCGACCGAAAGTACTGTACCTCGTTTGTGCTGGTTGTAGCTTCCGAGAAAAGAAAGACAACGGCTGAATCTCATTGCCAATTAGTTGTTGAAGTACAGCACCGACAGCGGATTGTGAGGCATCAGTCTTGAGAACGAGAGTGGCTTTCTCGTCGGTGTCCAAGTAGCTCAGGGAAGTTACCTGGCTTAACTTCTGCTTGATGGCAACAAACGCTGTTTCGGCTTCTGGCGTAATGATGAACTTCTTTGGATTACCTTTAAGTAAATCAGTCAAAGGCTGAAGAACAGCAGCACAATTGTCAATGAATCTTCCGTAATAATTAACCATGCCAAGGAATCGGCGCAGGTTTTTAACGGATTGGGGCAGTGGATAGTCCATGATTGCCTGGGTTTTCTCAGGGATGGGACTAATGCCTTTGCTATCGATTTTGTGACCAAGAAAATCGACGGAAGATTGACCAAATAGGCATTTATCAGGATTAATGGTTATCCCGTGATGGTCGAAGCGTTCAAATACTTGTCGGAGGTGATTCAAGTGCTCTTCTGGCGTGGCACTGGCTATGAGAACATCGTCAATGTAGACAAAAACAAAGTCTAGACCACGGAGGACCTGGTCCATGAAGCGCTGGAAGGACTGTGCCGCATTGCGAAGGCCAAAAGGCATACGAGTGAACTCGTACAAACCGAAAGGTGTGATAACGGCCGTTTTAGCAATGTCCTCAGATGCCATTGGAATTTGATGGTACGCTCGTACAAGGTCAATCTTGGAAAAGACTGATTTCCCGGACAATCCCAGTGAAAAATCATGAATATGAGGGATAGGGTATCTGTCGGGAATAGTAACGGCGTTGAGTGCCCGGTAATCACCGCATGGACGCCAATCACCGGACTTTTTGGGTACAAGATGAAGCGGAGAAGCCCAACAACTGTTGGACGGGCGAATGATTCCGAGGTTGAGCATGTGCTCAAATTCGCGTTTAGCCGCTTGGAGCTTGTCAGGTGGAAGACGTCTCGGTTTGGCTGACACGGGTGGACCTGTGGTGACGATATGATGACGGACCTCGTGTTTAGGCTCGGTGGAGTCGGTATTAGAACGGACCAAAGACGGAAATTGCTGAAGCAATGAGGAATACGGCGTAGAGTCTGGCATGAGTACGCGAAGTCCAACGGAAGTGACTGGGGCGAGATGGCAAGGGACAGTGAGCGAAGTGCTGTCGTCCCGTAACTTCCTGCAACGTAGGTCGACAACGAGGCCGAATTTGCTAAGGAAGTCGATGCCAAGTATGGGTTTCTGGACATCAGCGATGGTAAAGATAAAAGGAAAGTCGCGTCGTAAACCAAGGCTTAGGTGTAACAGCTTCTGGCCGTATGTCGCGATCTTGGTCTGGTTAGCCGCCTGTAACGTGAGTCCGGCTTGTTGCAGAGGGCGTTTTTCCAACGAACGTGGGATAACGCTGATTTCTGCGCCCGTATCGACCAAAAAATGAAGTTTAGTCGTGGAGTCGAACACGTACAGAAGGCGACTGAGGATTTGGCCAGCGACAGCCGTCGCCATTACTGGCTGGCTTTGGCGTTTCCCGGTTGCGAAATCGAAGTTCCTTTCGGATATTTGCATCCTGGGCGACAGTTACGTGCTGATTTACCGAAGCGACGGTGGAAATAACAGTACGACCGCTGACGTGAGCGTGATGTGCTGCGGCGCGGATCACGAGGACTTCTTCGGCTGGTAGTGCGTTCACGTCGAATAGCAGACATGCTGAGTTCTAGACGGGATATTCTATCATTTATCGAATCAAGCGTAGTGCTAGGGGATGAGCTGGCTGTGGTGGACTCAGTTAGATGATTAAGAGTACTCTTAAAGAAACATTCGTGCGTTTTGTCCGCAGCTTCTGCGAGCTTCTCCAGCGTGATATCGTCGCTAAGAACTGATAATATCGCTGTGATGTTTGCCGGAAGACATTTGGTCCAAAGTTGGCGGAGTATGGAATCGTCGAGTTTCGACGAACCAACTAGGGAACGCATGTGCCTTAGAAGCTGGGATGGGGTGCGATCGCCAAGCTCGACGCCGGAAAGTAACTGTTGCAGACGAGCTTCATCAGACGCAGTTGTGCGTTTAAGGATAGCTGCTTTAAGTTTATCATACGGCGATTCAACAGGCATAGGGTCAAGAATATCAATGACTTCAGATGCAATGGAAACAGGTAAGCGCGAGACGACGTAAGAGAACATGGAAGACTGTGAAGTGATCTTACGACATCGAAAAGTGGCTTCTACCTGAATAAACCATACGCGTGGATTGGAAATGTCAAAGTTAGGAAGCGAGAGTTCGACGGAATTGTCCGTAAAAACACATGGGGTATGGTCAGACATGACTAAGAAAAAATACGTGTTCAAAAAAAATAAGGCAGGGTCACCAATTTATGTAGTGGTCGAAAAATACTAGGAAGGTTTCAACCCCTTAATAAAAGGCAAAAAGTTGGAGAGGGTCAACTCACAGTTTAATCACAGTCGAGTTCGAGTCGTAGGTTGCGCTATACCTGTGACACACGTCGAGCACAATGGAAATAGACGTTCGATAATAATTCCGAATATACTATCCGATTTTCAAGCAGACTGGACGGCACCGTACACACGCAGAAGCAGCACAGCCAGAAATCAGCACGACGGAACGCGGGGCGCGAAGAAGTGTATATTAATCATTAATTCAAACAAACTGTACAAAAGATGTCATGATAAAATGGATGACAAGAAAGACAAAATGTGAAAGATTAATAACCACTACATAACTCCCCCCGTAGAGCGTGAACTGGTAAGGTAACGCTCGATATAGCTATTTAGGGAACAAACTCAGCTAGTTTGGAGGGGAAAGACACAGAACGTCCTGAACGTGTGTGTTTGGGATCATTCGTTGGGCGAGCGCATGAAGGTTCTGGAGCATTGGAAGCGGTCGGTTGACCAACAGGGGGTAACGACTTGGGATCCGTCAAAGTAACGGCAGGCTCAACATAAGCGGGTTTAAGACGGTCAATACTCACAGATTCTTTCGATCCATTCCTTTCCAGTATGAAGTATTTAGGTTTCCGTGACAACACTTTGAAAGGACCTTCATAAGGGGGTGTCAACGGCTTGCGAACTGCATCAATGCGAATGAAAACAAAAGGACAAGTGTGTAAGTCCGGATGAATTCGTTGTTCGCGGGCAGTGAAGCGAGTAGACGTAGGTCGAACTGTTCGGAAGTGTTGTTTGAGACGTTCGGCGTAGGACACAGGATCTATCTCACCAGTGACTCGGGAATCCAAAATCATCTCACCTGGAAGTCTGAGAGTGGTGCCAAAGACGAGTTCGGCAGGGCTGCATCCAATATCCTCTTTGACGGTATTACGGATACCAAGAAGGACAGCTGGGATGCGTTCAGACCAATGTGGATCAGGTGAATTAGCTGTGATGGCGGCTTTAAGCTGTCGATGGAAACGCTCGACAAGGCCATTCGAAGCGGGATGATAAGCAGTTGTTCGAATGTGGGTACAACCCAACAGACGATTCAAGTCACGGAACAAGGTGGAACTAAACTGAGATCCTCGATCTGTAGTGATCGTAGATGGTACACCGAAAAAGGAAATCCATGAGTCAAAAAATGCACGGGCAACAGATTCTGAAGATATGTCACGTAAAGGAATGGCGTGCGGCCAACGAGTAAAACGATCAACACAAGTCAAAATGAAAGTGAAATTGTTCGATGGAGGAAGCGGTCCGACTATGTCTAGGTGGACATGTCTAAAACGTGCCTCAGGTAGTGAGAATGTTCCGGGGGCAGAAATAGTGTGTCTGTGTACTTTGCTGCTCTGGCAGCTGAGACAGTGTTTAGCCCATTGGCGGATATCAGAGCGCATACTAGGCCAGATGAAACGATCAGTAATCAACTTCACAGTAGATCGAATGCTAGGATGCGATAGTCCGTGAAAATGGTCAAAGACGGTTCGCCGGAAAGACTGTGGAACAAACGGTCTTGGCTTACCGGTGGAGACATCGCAGTGAATCCTTGCGTCTGAGTTTAAAATTGGTAATTGCAAGAATTTCAATGTGGTATTCGATCGAAGCTGAGCGAGTTCAGGATCGTTGTTCTGGGCAACAGACATTTCCTCAAGGTCTATTGGTGAGGACGACAGTTGATGTATGTGAGCACGTGAAAGTGCATCAGCGACAACATTATTCGGACCATCGAGGTAGCGAATGTCGACACAAAATTGTGAGAGGTAATCCAGATGTCGTGTCTCTCTCGGAGAATAGCGATCGGAAGCGGCACGAAAAGCGTAGATCAAAGGCTTGTGGTCCGTCAGAATTACAAAACGTCGTCCTTCAAGGACGTGACGAAAGTGCTTGACGGCCAAGTACATCGCGAGAAGTTCGCGACCGAAAGTACTGTACCTCGTTTGTGCTGGTTGTAGCTTCCGAGAAAAGAAAGACAACGGCTGAATCTCATTGCCAATTAGTTGTTGAAGTACAGCACCGACAGCGGATTGTGAAGCATCAGTCTTGAGGACGAGAGTGGCTTTCTCGTCGGTGTCCAAGTAGCTCAGGGAAGTTACCTGGCTTAACTTCTGCTTGATGGCAACAAACGCTGTTTCGGCTTCTGGCGTAATGATGAACTTCTTTGGATTACCTTTAAGTAAATCAGTTAGAGGCTGAAGAACGGCAGCACAATTGTCAATGAATCTTCCGTAATAATTAACCATGCCAAGGAATCGGCGCAGGTTTTTAACGGATTGGGGCAGTGGATAGTCCATGATTGCCTGGGTTTTCTCAGGGATGGGACTAATGCCTTTGCTATCGATTTTGTGACCAAGAAAATCGACGGAAGATTGACCAAATAGGCATTTATCAGGATTAATGGTTATCCCGTGATGGTCGAAGCGTTCAAATACTTGTCGGAGGTGATTCAAGTGCTCTTCTGGCGTGGCACTGGCTATGAG